TGGTAAAGTCTAGGTATGTGTGTGTGTGTGTGTGTGTGTGTGTGTGTGTGTGTGTGTGTGTGTGTGTGTGTGTGTGTGTGTGTGTGTCTGTCTCTCATGTGGTAACTTGGTCTTGACCAAGCACACCCAACAGTGGGTTGACTGGGTTGCAGGCCCCCTATGTGTGTGTGAGACAATAAGTATGCTAAACTGGCCAAGTGGTCATCTCAGGTGATGAGACCCCCTGTGTGTGTAAGACACCCCCTGGGGAGGCAGAACTTGGGATATGCTATGTGGGAACAGGTGTGGGCTAGCGGGGCCTTAAGGGGGCTGAATAATTTTGCACGGCCAATTTTTCAGTTTTTTATTTGTTAAAAACGTTTGAAATATCCAATAAATTTCGTTCCACTTCATGATTGTGTCCCACTTGTTGTTGATTCTTCACAAAAAATTACAGTTTTATATCTTTATGTTTGAAGCCTGAAATGTGGCAAAAGGTCGCAAAGTTCAAGGGGGCCGAATACTTTCGCAAGGCACTGTATAAACAAGGAAAATAAAGTTATGAAAGGTAACTAAATGGAACTAAAGGTATGAGAAGTAACTAAAGCTTATAAAGTAACTAGAGTCTATAAGACTCAAATCTTACAATATCCTTATCCATCATCCCAGTCCCAAAAAAGCCTACTGCAGACTGTCTAAGTGATTACAGACCAGTTGCTCTTACCCCCATTATCAACAAGTGCCTGGAATAAAAAACTGAATAATTGGGCGTGCAAAATTATTCAGCCCCTTTACTTTCAGTGCAGCAAACTCTCTCCAGAAGTTCAGTGAGGATCTCTGAATGATCCAATGTTGACCTAAATGACTAATGATGATAAATAGAATCCACCTGTGTGTAATCAAGTCTCCGTATAAATGCACCTGCACTGTGATAGTCTCAGAGGTCTGTTTAAAGCGCAGAGAGCATCATGAAGAACAAGGAACACACCAGGCAGGTCCGAGATACTGTTGTGGAGAAGTTTAAAGCCGGATTTGGATACAAAAAGATTTCCCAAGCTTTAAACATCTCAAGGAGCACTGTGCAAGTGATAATATTGAAATGGAAGGAGTATCAGACCACTGCAAATCTACCAAGACCTGGCCGTCCCTCTAAACTTTCAGCTCATACAAGGAGAAGACTGATCAGAGATGCAGCCAAGAGGCCCATGATCACTCTGGATGAACTGCAGAGATCTACAGCTGAGGTGGGAGACTCTGTCCATAGGACAACAATCAGTCGTATACTGCACAAATCTGGCCTTTATGGAAGAGTGGCAAGAAGAAAGCCATTTCTTAAAGATATCCATAAAAAGTGTTGTTTAAAGTTTGCCACAAGCCACCTGGGAGACGCACCAAACATGTGGAAGAAGGTGCTCTGGTCAGATGAAACCAAAATCGAACTTTTTGGCAACAATGCAAAACGTTATGTTTGGCGTAAAAGCAACACAGCTCATCACCCTGAACACACCATCCCCATTGTCAAACATGGTGGTGGCAGCATCCTGGTTTGGGCCTGCTTTTCTTCAGCAGGGACAGGGAAGATGGTTAAAATTGATGGGAAGATGGATGGAGCCAAATACAGGACCATTCTGGAAGGAAACCTGATGGAGTCTGCAAAAGACCTGAGACTGGGATGGAGATTTGTCTTCCAACAAGACAATGATCCAAAACATAAGGCAAAATCTACAATGGAATGGTTCACAAATAAACATATCCAGGTGTTAGAATGGCCAAGTCAAAGTCCAGACCTGAATCCACTCGAGAATCTGTGGAAAGAACTGAAAACTGCTGTTCACAAATGCTCTCCATCCAACCTCACTGAGCTCGAGCTGTTTTGCAAGGAGGCATGGGCAAAAATTTCAGTCTCTCGATGTGCAAAACTGATAGAGACATACCCCAAGTGACTTACAGCTGTAATCGCAGCAAAAGGTGGCGCTACCAAGTATTAACTTAAGGGGGCTGAATAATTTTGCACGGCCAATTTTTCAGTTTTTTATTTGTTAAAAAAGTTTGAAATATCCAATAAATTTCGTTCCACTTCATGATTGTGTCCCACTTGTTGTTGATTCTTCACAAAAAATTACAGTTTTATATCTTTATGTTTGAAGCCTGAAATGTGGCAAAAGGTCGCAAAGTTGAAGGGGGCCGAATACTTTCGCAAGGCACTGTACTGAGGCATATTAAAACCTGCCTTCCTCCCTCTTTCGACATCCATCAATTTGCATATAGGGAGAACAGGTCCACAGAGGATGCCATTACCATCATTCTCCACACAGCACTAAAGCACCTGGAGAACAGAGGTGCTTACAGTATGTTCACATGCTTTTTTGTGGACTACAGTTCTGCCTTTAATATGATCATACCAGACATTCCTATCAAGAAACTGCTTCACTTGGGCTTCTCCCCACACCTCTGCGCCTGGATCTTGGATTTTCTAACAAACCGACCCCAGTTTGTTAGGCTGGGCCCCCACCTCTCCTCTACCCTCACCCTCAGCACAGGCTTTCCACAGGGCTGTGTGCTAAATCCATTACTTTACTGAATCTATACTAATGACTGTACACTGACTTACACCTCAAACTCCATTATAAAATTTGCAGATGACACCACAGTGATTGGCCTTATCTCAGAAGGGGATGAGACCACCTACCGAGAGGAGGTACACAACTGACCTTGTGGTGTTCTGCAAATAATCTGACACTCAGCACAAGAAAAACCAAAGAATTGATCCTGGACTTCTGGAAGTGCAGAGCCAACTATGCACCCCTCTTGATCAATGGAAACAGAGTGGAAATAGTTCACAGTTTTAAATTTTTGGGAACTGAAATATCTGACAACCTCTCCTGGTCAGCGAACACCTCAGCCATTGTAAAAAAGGCCCAGTAGTGTCTGCACTTCCTGAGAGTCCTTAGGAAAAAACAACCTGTGTGGACCCCGCTGGTGACTTTTTACCACAGTGCCGTCGAGAGTATATTAACATACAACATCACAGTGTGGTACTCGGGTTGTACAGTGGCTGACTGGAAGGCTCCACAGAGGGTGGTCACCTCAGTGTATAACATCATTGGCTGCCCTCTTCCCTCAATTGAGGACATTGCTGCAACCCACTACCTCAGTAGAGCAAAGACTATCTTAAAAGACAATTCCCACTGTTAGGTTATTTCCTAGTTAGATAGATATTGATTAGAGATCTGTTGTATTAGAAGATGTTAGTGTAGCCAGGTTGACTAGCTCAGGCTGTTAACTGTTCAGCCTGCAGTGCAGACTACAGGCACATCAAGGTTACAGGAAAAGAGCTGTTAGGGTCAACTGTAATGCTAGTCTTAATATTTGTCTTAATGTGTAAGGTTATGTCCAATTGTTTTAGATACACACCACGAAAACAACAGTCACGCACCTTGACTTTTCCTCATGTTTTGGCTAAACGTTATAGCAGCTGCAAGGCTTGCTTATCGGGTGACGTCACGGTTCGACAGCCCAGAAAGGATTAATATTGTATAGCAATGATATTGTATAGGAATTCTTGGTTCGGGGTCTTTTCTGCTTCCGGGCTGCTTGGGCAGCCTGGGGGTTGGAAGATCTCTGGACTTGAAGTGTTGATTTTTGCCTGTGCCTCTTTGAATAAACCAGCACGGTTATATTTTTTATATACTCAAGTGGTCTGAGTCGTCCCTCTGAGTTCCTGGTTTGAAAGAACCGGATGAGGCTTTATAATGGAATAGAGCCTTTACCACCCTGGCCATTATCTGACGGTATAGGTAAATTAAAACATAAAAATGATTCCTGAACAGTGTCTTTCCTGTAGCCATACAACACGTTAATAAACAGTCCAGCTAGTTTATCTTATTTACATGCAGCTGCAAAATATTGTTGTTATATGTGCAATATTATGGCCTAGCATTCAAGCACCTCATATCCCTTCTTCAATTTTATAATGTTTTTATAAGTGTAGTGTAATTGACTGTATGTATGTTCTTTTAAACACCATAGTGATGTGACGAGCACTTGTAATTTCATTGTATCTTGAATACAATGACAACAAAGGCATCTTATCTTATCTAAAAGAACATTTAATTGTTTTTAGTAAACATTCACAAATTACCTTTCAATTAACATTCTTCATGATCAGCATGCATTCCACAAACATCAACAGATAAAATATAATAAACTGATGACCACTATTGTATAGTATGGTTGTGGGACACCGGGACAAGCAAAACCACAAACAGTGCTCCACAGCGCTGGTCATAAACCCCACAAGGTACCAATCATAATCTAGTGGAGGTCTTTTTTAAATGAGCTCCAGTGTGTACCATGATGCACAGTTTTACTGTATATTATAATTAAGACAGCTTTGGACCCTGTTCTGAATGGAAAGACACTCCAATGCAGCTCTCAGAAAAACTGTGATATGAAGGCAACTGTGATGACTCACCCTTTTATTTAACTAACTTCTTCATCATCATCTCACCATCTATTCATGTTTAGCTCTGCAGGGAAATGAAGTCAGTTTGGCCTTTGGAGATTTTACAACACTTTGTTTAGAACAGTAATGCCTGTCATGATGGCTGTGTCAAACACACCCCCATATTCTCTTACAGCTCATGAACTCCTGACTCATGGTGTAATAATTGTTTGATTTGCAATGACATCACTTGATTTTCCTCACTTTAGAGGCTCATTTTGCTCCATGGCGCCCTCAGTGGTGCAGCGATGCAGCATGAGGAGAGAGTGCCCTGTAACATCATTAGTCCCCATCCAGACACATTAACTTCACATCATTAATTAGACCATCAACAGGCATTAACCTCCACTTGTGTGTTGTCCTACAAAGGCCTGACAATGACCATTAATGGACTGACACTGTGATGACACTTCCTGAAACTTGCCTCTGATCTCTTCAGGTAGGTGTTCTGTGGCTGCAGGCAGTGAAGGAGGAAGAGCAAGATGCTGATGACCAGCAGCAGCTGCAGTCCTCCACCTTGCACTTCACACAGGCTGTTACCATCCTACTGCCAAATGAGCTCTTCAAATGGCATCAACTGATCTGTGTCTGTATCAACCTCTACTACATGGTTCCTCCAGATGTTAGAAAGTCTTAAAACATAGTTTTTCAAATTTATTGTCATATGTTTGAGGTGTGGATTCTTTATGTTCAACATCTGGTAACTGAAAAGAAAGTGTATTATATGCATATCTGGTATAGACTATACATTTTGGTAGTCATCTTCAGTTTTGAGCTGAAATTATGGAATATAAGTGGGCTACACTTACTCAGTGCAATTTTGACTTGTATTTTATGTCAGTTTCTCATTCACGCCTCTTTCCACTTACGTGCCAAAATAAAATTCACACAAAAAACTGTTTAAGTTTTACTGCACTAAATTTATTTAACAGCCATTTCTCAGGGGTTGACAGGCACATTTTTATGTTCTGATTGTGCTGCTCCAATAATTTAAAGAAAATTATTTTAGTTGTAACATAGGGCCTAATGCAAAACAAAAAAGTACTGGCAAGTACAGGGGTAATCAGTGACAGCCCTGAGTCTCATGGTGCCTTACAATAGGTGAAGTTAAGCTTAATTTAAAACCATCTACTTTTAAAGGTCTAGTTGTTACAGTGGTTGCAGTTGGTGATGCAAAATAACATTACTGCACTGTAAAAGCTCAAGTGGACTATCAGTGCACCAAGAAAGCTCACAGTAAAAACTCTGCTCTGCCCAGTCTAAACCATATTCTGGTGTAACTGTCTCCAGGCAATTACAGTACTCTATGTTACATCCATCCATCATCTATACTGCTTATCCTGAAGAGGGTTGTGGAGGGCTGGAGCCAATCGGAGCTGACAGTGGATGAGAGGCAGGGCACACCCTGGACAGGTCGCCAGTCTATCACAGGGCTGACACTTAAAGACAGGCAACCACACACCCACACTCACTCCTACAGACAATTTAGAGTCACCAATTGACCTAAGCTGCATGTCTTTACCCGGAGAGAACCCACGCAGGCACAAGGAGAACATGTAAACTCAACACAGAAAGGGCCCGGGTCGACCGGGGCTTGAATTCCGGAACCTTCTTGCTGTGAGGTGACATCAGTAATCACTGCTTAACCATGACACACTACTTTATGTTCCTATAAAACTAATTTGCAAATATGTTTTGAAAGAAGAATCATCCCAGCCATATTATGTGTTCTGTTAAATATAATGAGAAACTGCTGACTAGTCACAAAAATGTTGCTACTGAAAGTAAAATGTTCAGAAATTTCATTTTTCTCCTGCCAAAATATTTGATTTTGCAGTGTTTTTTTTTTTTATTGAAAAAAGATTATAGTTTTAGAAAGTCTGAAGTGACATGAATCATCAAAACCACATTCTGTCCCTTACCTTAATCAAAATGCCTTTGTCGCCTACTGTAAACCGAAAAGGGATTTAGGATTAATGCTGGCCTAAATTAATGAGTTCACTAACTGCTAGCCATAAGCAAAATTAGAGCTTTACAATCACAAATGTAGTAGTCACAAACTTGCTTGAGTACACTACTGACACTGTTCAATATTACTGACCTGTACGCTCATTTTCCATGCATGCCAAACTGCAGCCATACCCCAAAGAATACATTTAAAGGTACAATTAAAGGTCTGTACCCAGTGTATACTGAGGAAAAAGCACTGTCAGGAATAGTGCAGGGGACTCAAGTGCAAATCAGAAACAAAAGGTCAAAACAAACAAGACAGCAGAAAGCTGACCAGAACCCAAATACACAGACAAACAGTCAAGGGCACAAAAAGAGGCAGATTCAGGACAATGGTCTGTACTGGCAGTGACGTTAAACTTGAGGATATGTCTGGAATTATGTGTGATTACATACTGACTGTTGTTACATGTTTGAAAGAATAAATAAATCAAATCAAATCAAATCAAATGTTGGAATGTCACAGTTTAGGAACAAGATGAGAACCTGGCAACAAGTGAAGGCTGACAGCCGACTATACCATGGGAGCTGAGTACAGGAATGAGACATGGGTGAGTGTGAGCAGCGAGGAGCAGGCCTAGTAGCAGGGACTGGAAAGGAGAACAAATCAACAAATGTTCCAAGTCCCTTATTTGTACATACATGTAGATAAAGGTGTTGTTGTACTGGATTATATTCAGAGGTGTTCCTAATATTCTGACCCTCTCATGTATAGGGAGGACAAAAATATAGAGACATGTCTGAATATAATGTACAACACCTTTAGCTATGACCTCAATAATAAACATATAATTGAATTTATACATTTATGACAATTTCACCAAAAGCTGAAACATTTTGAGCTTTATAAACACAGATGTTAAGGTGGAAGTGTTGCATCAAAGTGCATACAATTGTACAGGTGTTCCTAATAAAGTGGCTGGTGAGTGTACAGGATGGAAGCCAAAATCTTCAATTTTGTATGTCCACTGTCCACACCTACTGTATTCTGCACCACCAACACCACCCAATTACTTTGTCACAGCAAAGTAATTGGAAAACAATTCAGTAATATATCAAGGAGAGAGGGTTATGGTCAGTTAAATACAGAACTAATAATAATTTTTTTATTATATATATTTATATTACCATATAATTCATGTGAATACTTTTCCCACCACTGCAAATCATTTGCACCTTGACAGAATTGTGCACATTTTATATTTACTTAATTATTTAGTAATTTCTTAATTAAGTAAAACTACAGAAGGAAAGAGGCAGAGGTCATCGGGGACTTATGTGTGCAAATCCCTGGGGTCATCAACTTTGTTCTCCATTTTTTCTCAGTCTTGCAAGTAAGTAGAGAACATTTTTTTCTCTACTGTAAATACGACAAGCCCAGTGCAGTTGATGGAACATTAGCCCAGCTTAACCCTCATATATCACATATATTCAAGTCACAGAGATAATCTTATATTAATTTGCAAAATTGAGACTTGCCACATATTTAACTCTGTACTATCTTTTAACAACACACCCAAATTCTGAAGGTAGTTCCCAAACCCTCATAGACTTCTGGTGATGCAGAATCAAAAATAATCTGATCTGGGGCAGGAAAAATATCTAATATACTGTAGATAACACTCCAGCCTGGCAGATATGGGTACAGCAGCAAGTTATATGGGTTGTGATATTTCATTTAAGGCTGGCAAAGCACAACCGATTAACTGCTCAGCCTTAGAACTAAGGCCAATAAATTAAAGATTAAGATATAACTGTGAGTAAAAAGTAGGGCTGTCAAAATTAACGCAATAATAATGAGTTAACGCAAAATCCTTTTAATGCCCATAAATATTTTTGCCGCATGATCAACACATGCACATTCTGTGAACATGACCCTCAGCCCACCCCATAGTTTGGGAAATCAGTAAGCAATGAAGCAGCAGAAATTAGCAGAAATGTATTTAAAAAATGGGTCTTTTGAATGGCAAGTTCAGTTTCAAAACCCTGCCAGACACCTAGAAAACTCTACAAGCAACAAACTTTTAATAGCAATAGTTAAATGGGTGGCTACAGCTTGCATGTCGGTTAACATTGTGGAGGACAAGAGTCTGGTTGAAATAATTTGCATCACATCCAGCGACTGCACATATGGATTGACTTCGAGAGCTGCCACTGTAACTTGTATTATAATAATAATAATCACCTTTATTTGGCCAAGTATGTTACACACGAGGAATTTGTTTCTGGTACATAACCAAGGCAGCCATCTTCGGCGCCAACACCGATGGCTCTAACAATCAGGGGCAACTTAGAGGTTTCAGTGTCTTGCCCAAGGACACTTTTATGTGTGGACTGCAGGCAGATTCAAACCTCCAGTTTGCTCTATCCACTGAACCACAGTCTCCCCTCGTATGAGGGCGAGAAAGCTAAAGAGGAAGAGGTGTTGGGACAGACAAACACGGCTGGCTCACCAGAGACTACTGGACCTCTCTAGGTAATCACAGTTATCTTGGGGTCCCTTTAAGGTTCATTTAGAACCAGTGGTGGAACCCTTTATTTGAAGTAAAAGTAACAATACAACAATTTAAAAATACCATTACAAGTAAAAGTCCTGCATTCAAAATGCTACTTAAGTACTAAAGTATTAGCATCAAACTTTACACAAAGTACTAAAACTAAAAGTGCTCATTATGCAGAATGGCAAATTTCATCTTTCTGTATATCATATTGTAGTATTAAACTATTGAAGCATTATTGTGTATATCACATTGATTGTTGGGGGGGTGGGGGGAGACTAGGTTTAACTAGTTTATTTGCATTTAATTTGAATTACCACTGGGTTGCTTGTGAATTCTCCACTATAGCTCAATGACAGCTTATAATTATACTGTATTTTAGTATTAATTTAGTTATGAAGAGTAACTAATAACAAATTAAAAATAAATATAGTGAAGTAAAAAGTACATTATTTGCATCTAAAATGTGGAGAAGTCAAACTATGAAGTAACAAAATGAAAATACTCAAAACACAGCTACCTCAAAATTGTACTTAAGTACATTACTTGAATAAATGTACTTTCCACCACAGTTTTAAAGAGATTTTTTAAAAGTGTGATATAATTGCAATTAACTGTGAGGTAACTATGGACAATTGTGTGATTCAGAATCAGAATCAGAATCAGCTTTATTGGCCAGGTGTGTCGGACACATGAGGACTTTGATTCTGGTACAGTGGCTCTCAATGTGTACATACATGAATGTGCATTAGGAAAAAAATCAGCACTAGTAAAAAGAAATCTGCTGAATACCAATCTATCAGAATACCACTTTATCACAGGACTGGTCATCAATCAACCTCTAAGCTTCATGTCTTTGAACTGTGGGAGAAAGCTTGAGTACCTGGAAAGAACCCAGGCAGGCACAGGGAGGACATGCAAACTCCACACAGAAAGGCATCGGGTCAGCCTGGACTGAAACCCGGAAACCTCTTGCTGTGAGGCAACAGTACTAATTACTGTACCACCATGCCATCCCTGAAACAAGAAAAAAGTGACCATGGTTGTTAGATTCACGGCAGGTTAAAGGAGGGTTTGTGACAGGTCTGGGACACTGACAGAAGAAGTTCACCTG